ATCACGACGGCGCGGAAACCGAGCGGCTGGAGATGAATGTTGAAGGCTTCTGGGGCCCTGTACATTGCAGAGAATACACAGGTAGATGGCATGAGATCAAGGAGTTGGAAGGCCTCAACCCCATCCATAGATATACGCTGCACAGCTTTGGGGAGGGCGACACCTAGCCAACAAGCAACAGGCCTGCCTCTCTGCATCAGAGCCCGACCTCAGCAGCCCTCCATAGAGGAGTCCATTCCAGTTCCTCGAAGAGAGCATACATTCGTTGTGTATCGTCCATACCTCCAGACTTGGCATTTTATATCCAGCAGGAGGAGAGGATGCTTACACAGGGGAACGATAGGATACTGCTCTGAACACGCCGTCATTCCACACAGTTCCATCGTTTCGCTGAGCATTCTCAAACAAAACAAAAAAACACAAAAACATTCCACTCATTACATCATGCGCACAGAAGCCGGGCCCTCACAGGCCACCCGGATGAAACATCCTGGGAGCCGCAGTAAATTCATTTCAGGAGGTTTCGATTCGATTGATTAGATGTTGTCGCAGCGGCCCAAGCTTACACGGAGATCGGCCCTATCATCACACGCCAGAGGTGAAACTCGCCACCGTAAAGAAACGATTACAAACGAGAGAGACTCAGGAGATCGGAAATGATTCTGCGGGCGAGAATCATTGTGTGCCTGAAACTCCCACAGAAGCAAGCAAGCTTTTTACTTTTTGTCACCTTGGCTCCGCGCCTTCCCACTCAAAGTACACATATACCATTCACTTGTAGCATCTCCTCATCGGCGGTAGAGGAAGGACTGCAATCTATTACATATGTTTTACATGGTTAAGGGCGTACTCACACTACCAGTATCTCAAATGTATCCGACTGCATTCACACCATACCCGGATGTATCTGGCCACAGTTCCGTCCAAAAATATGCAAAAACGTATTACTGTGAGTATGCCCTAAGAAACACAAAAAAGATAGTGGCCTATTCAATCTATTAAGTACAGCTTGTATTATGGTGGGAAAACGAAAAACAGAAGGATAGCAATCCACTACGAACAACACCAGAGCGCTACCAATAGGCCTGTAGGTGATAGGGGACCTACCTTATTCCCGCGAATAGAACGTACGGTCATTATAACTGTATTTAGACTGAAAGATACCCCAAATACAGCTATAATTACCGTACGTTGTATTCGGGGGAAGAAGATAGGATTCCCTAATCCTCAGAAGTCAGGAGATAAGCCCTGTAGTGGCCAGGTGTGTAAGTGAGACAGAGGCACCCGGCCCACAGATGGCCGAAAGGTATAGACCACTGGTTCAGCAATCTGCACACCATCCAGCGATATCAGAAACAGTCATGCCCTGTTTCAAAAGCAGGGCGGCGTAACACTAACCGGGCACCACCCTCACACCGATTTGTACAGCGTCCACAACAAGCTATTCACTTGTCCATTTGGCGACTTCACCAGGGTTTGGCTCAAGAGCAGGGCAGTGTGACACTGACCGCATCCAGAGGAGATACTACCGAGTACTGGCTGGACAATGCCGCCGAAGAAGAGCTACGAGAGAGGAGATCATGGTTGCTGAGGATCATAATCTGTAGGAGATAACAGAGTAGCAGGGAAGAAACGAGAGTGATCTTCTCAGTCCATGCAAACACGGGGAGTGGGAGGGCGGGGGGCCGGGGGGTGCAAAAGGCTCGAGCAAACGCAGCGCAATAGCAGGAATTGGGAGAAAAAGACTACCAGGCAGAGTTCCCAATACCAGGATCGCTTTGCCGAGAGGAATGCAGAACTGCTCGAGGAGGAAAGCGTGGAAGACGAGCGGTTACGGTCAGTCAATGGGAGGCCAAGACATAGTGGAAGAAGGGATGCAGGCACAATAGTGGGCACAGGGGTTCCGGTCAGTCAAAGGGGACGCCAAGATAAAGTGGAAGACAGAATGCACACACGATAGCGGGCACAGAGGGGGACTTCTTCCTCGGTTTTTGTCATAATCTCCCTACCACTGAAAGAGCTTTACAAGATAGATCCCCTTCTTCACTCGCGCGATATTGACGGATCAGGCTTTCGCCCACCGTCCAAGATTCCCCACTGCTGCCTCCCGTAGGAGTCTGGGCCGTGTCTCAGTCCCAGGAGCGGGAAAGCCTGGAGACAATGCCCAGCAGTCCCGGCGAGCGGGAAAGCTAGAGTCCCAGTATTACCAAGGCCCAGAACTGTGGAACGACAGCCGTGCTGCTGACAGGATAGCAACAACCGCAAATCCGGGCAGCATGGTCAGAGAGAACCTAAAGCCGATCTACAAGCACGGGAGACGAGATACATTTGCCACTCATACTGTCGATGACAATAGGACAGAAAGAGCACAGCCGACAAGCCAAAGACAGCTGACAACCTTGGGAGGATCACGTTCAGCCACACAACGTATAGACGTCGGACGGAACTGAACGTGGGGTCGGTTGAATTGATGAACGGTGTCGACAAGGCTGTGTCGCGTTGCTGAGCGAAAGGTGCAGGTGCGTCGCTAACATATCAGAGGTACAGGGTCAGGCAACGAGAACGAACGGTCAGAAGATCGGGGTGTGTGAAGGCCAATCTCGGAGAAGCAGGTGGCCGATGCGCACTTTCCCACTTTATACACATCCGGGGCAGTGAGTGAAAGACAGCCACGCGCGTTATCATTCCCGCACTGGCAAGAGACTTTTCTGCTAGGAGGAGAGACTTCACTGCCTGTCCCGCCCTTCGAAAGAACTGCGGGAATGTGTCTAAGTCAGCACACCAACAGTCAAGTCTCTCCACAGTGCAGGATTGATAACCTATGTGGCTATCTTTCGCTGCATGTCCCGCCCTTCGAAACAACTGCTGGACTGCGTCCAAGTCCGTAGACTACAATCTTCGAGACCTCGAAAAACAGACCATACTCAGCAAATCGAAGATCACACAGAACAAGCTGTGTATGTTCCACTTCCTGGACCACCATTCGTTCCTAGGAACACCTAAATATAATCCGATTTCGGGACACAATCTACAGTGGGAAGTTAAGCAGTTTGTTACACTAGAGACATCAATCATGTCCACGACCCGCTTCAGAGAAGAAAAAGTCTGATAAACCTAATCCGGGAAATATCCACTGCAGTCAGAAAAAGTCTGATAAACCTAATCCGGGACATATCCACTGCAGTCAGCGAGCACCTCGCAATCAACGACTGAGTTATTCTGTGTTGCGGCCAAGTGTCCCCCCTTAAACCGAAAGTGCGGCCCAGGCAAATCTACGAAAATCCCAAGGGTGCCTCGGGATACGGACCTCTTTTCTTTTCCTTTTTTTTTCCACCAATCACCACTGTTCGTGGTGCAATGACGTCAGCACTTCAGTTTCAAGGACGGCCGTCTCAAGGGTTTCGTCAAGGGGCTGTGGAACGAAAAAACAATTTAAGGGAAATTAATCACCTTCCGTGAGTTAGGGTGCCCTTGAACAAAACTCGAAGTACTTCCAAGTGGTGTCGAACGAGGCCTAAAGACGCGTGCAACTCAGTTCGGTTAATTTGGGACACATTATTATGCCCCTATAAAAATGAACAAATCGGGCGGCTTAGAGACCGCAACCCATTTAGAAGGGAAACTGGAATGCCATAACAGTTCGGCAGATCAGAAACAATGCACAGAAAATACGCTATCCAATAGTAGAGAATCACAATCATAAACCAAGAACTTCCACGGAATTCGGTCATGTTGAGGTTCTCCCGCCCTACGGTGACATCGACCCTCTCGCTCACCACTTGGATGGAGACGATGGGGAGCTTACAGGGCGCAATAATTAACACTACCGTCTTCCCCCGAACATAACGCACCCTAAAAATGAATGTACAGAGTTATATTTCCGGCCAGATACAGCCAAAATCAGCGTTGTGTTCGGGGGAAGACCGTAGTCGGCTTACAAGAGGAACAGGACAGGACAAGAGGCACGAAAGTAGCATTCAGGAGGTGGTGGGTGCAATGCCCACTTTGCCACCTGGGGCACACTTGATCCCGACTAACTGAGAGAGGGTTGGCGCGTTCCCCTTAATCGGTACTCATGTGTGTTCTCGGTTGGGAGAGAAGGTGTGGGAGGAGGGAGGGGAACTGGGCGTAGGAGTGTTGGCCCTAGACACTGCTGTTCCTCACTGGGAATGGAGGAAAGTAGGCAGAAGGGGCAGCTACTGGCAAAATGCTCCGCTCTTGTGTTAGCCAGCCTCCCCTATCCGCAGCCCAACCTTACTCCCTGACCAACGATTCGCAGAGAAGGCAACATGCATCCCCTTCATTGTCAGAGGAAGCTGTGCTTGCAGGGATCCCCTGTATTGGCTTCGGAAAAATGTTAGGTACGAAGCGGAAAGATGTGTCACAACGATATGCTATCTCACTTACAAAAGACCGTAGGACCGACGCTAGCAGTTTTTAACCTACAAACCCCTTGGAGAAACGAAGCCACCTTAATCATCTGGCAAATGGTAATTCCTTGAAGACAAACATGCTGTTGCCTGTTTAGAAGTGGATTCGAACCACTGACACAATCGCAGGATAAATTTGAACAGATCCACCGTTTTGAACGTATCGGGACAACCACGAGGCATACATACGGACGTTGTGTACTGCAGCAAAGAATGTATCGGGACAGCCACCAGGTATATACACGGACGTTGTGTACTGGGGCAACGAATGTATCAGGACAACCACCAGGTACATACACGGATGTTTCGCACTGGAAAGAACGTATCGGGACCACCACCAGGTATATATATACGGATATTGTGCACCGGAGCGAAGCCAACTACCAGCAAAAAAAAAGTAGGTATCTAAACGGACACATCTTGACCAACACCCGAGTGCGTGCAACGCGAAAGAAAAATTTTCACGGACGGAGAGAGACGTAAACCATCAAACGCGCAACTAATTAAAGAGCGGGCAGAAGCCCGAAAGACAGGAAAGGAGGGAGAACAACAGAAATGTGCAAGGGCTGAGCGTTAACGGCGATGCCGATAAGGAGTGGAGGACTAGAATGGCCATTGAATCCTTCCTCTGCCTATCGCAAGGAGCAATCAATGCCGCCGCAGGTTCCCTCGGCGTATATACTGAGGCGAACCATCTCAGTTCATAATCAATTTTAATCATACTTGCAAGCGCACGTCGTGCCGGCAATTGGCAGAGACCGACGATTGACAGACACGGGTGGAGGACACCACATTACGGTCTTCCCCCCAACACAACGTACCCTAATAATGAATGTATACACGCTATATTTCCAGTCACGCACAGCCAAAATGATGGTGGAACAATGGACGAAGGCTGGTGGCGGGACCAAACCAGTGATGGTAGGAAACAGAGCACGGAAAGACGAACAGACGGAGAAACGAGACGAAATTGAGAAATGAAGGGGGGGAAATACACATCAGGGAAAGAACTGACAAAAGCTGACCTGAGAGAACCAGCCGCAAAGAGGGAGCGGAACGCAGAAAAAACAGAGGACAACAACGGACGACATACACATGGAGACGCATTGTAAACAATAGACGGTTCAATGCGAAAAAGCATGTAGACTTGGAAACCAATGAGAACGGATAGAAATGAGGGCAAGGGAGCGCATAGCATAGCATCCAGAAAGACGGAAAACTACAAATCAGAAACAGAGACGTAGAGGCAAACGTTGAAGACCAACGATGTTTTTTTGGAAGTAGATAACATATAAATCCGGGAATTAGAGTGCATGTAAGTCCGGGAATATCAACCCTAAATTTCGATTGAGATAGGAAAGAAGACGAACGCCAAAGCGTAGAAGACTCACTCGGGCGAGAACACACATACAACACCAAGTAGAAGAGACACCGAACGAACCGAGCAGCGAGAGGTGAATTGGACTGGGAACATCGAGAGCATCATTCCCAAGGACATATCCAACCCGCATCATCAATGCATACGAGCTGTCTTTCCGGTTCGATACGGTCATGATGACGATTTGTGTCCAGGAGAAAACGGTAAAGAGACGATGGCGCGAGATACAGGAAACAGAAACGTTCACAAAGCATTACGATCGTCGAAAACAATGGAATCGAAGGTAAAGGAAAAACACAGAAACAAGAAATCGTTGCAAACATGTCACACTGAAACACGCAAAGTGAAAATGCACGCACACGACAAACATACAAATGAGAAACGAAAACAATAGTCGAAGACTCGGAGAGAAGCTTCATATTGTAAGGACTCAAGTTTGACACGGATGCCGACATGCGTCTTTTTCCTCGTCCATCTCAACACAATTCTGGTGACGAAGCGAAAAAAAAACTCCATATAATCACCCAACGCCGTTTCTTTCCAATCCCTTCACAAGTAATACAATCGTTACTCACACAGCCCAACAAGTCTCTGCGAGCATCAAGTCCCATTTAAGCACTCACGTCGATGAACATTTTCATTCGGAACCCTCAGGCAAGAAAGCGTGGCCTCTATTTGCAAGCGGACGACACGCTCTCGGAGGTCCTTCAGCATTTAATGCCGCCCCGGTATCAATCCGTACACTAAACGTCTCACTAGAAAAAAGCCGCCGCCATAAAAATGGCACTGAAGTTAACATATCATCTACATTATCGACCACATTCCTGCAGCAGACATGATGAATTCGCAACAGCCACCGTCCTCAAATTCCTCTTAACAATTCCAGCCCCAGGCAGCATTTGACGCAATCATTGATCAGACACGTCCCGACGTCCGACCCTTCTTCGAAAAACAGCCAAGAAGAGACTTAAGCAGCGGTCTTGGCAGCAGCACCCTTGCCCTTCCTCATCTCCTCGACGATCGAGAGCTTAACCCCTCTGCCTCTGGGGAGCGAGACCCAAGGCTTCACACCCTGTCCAATGACGAACACATTCCCCATTCGGGTGGCAAACTGGTGTCCAACTGCATCCTTGATGTGCACAATGTCGAAACTTCCCTTATGTCTCTCCCTGTGCTGAATGACACCCACTCTCCCTCTGTTACGCCCTCCTGTCACCATGCACATGTTGCCGATATCGAATTTGACGAACTCCTTGGGCTTTCCCGTCTCGAGGTCCAGCTTGATCGTATCATTAGCTTTGATGAGAGGGTCGGGATAACGAATAGTACGCCCATCGTACGTGGTGATGTAAGGCACACCCTTGGATCCCATGGCGTGAGCGCGAACCTTGCACAGCTTGTACTGATTAGGCAAACATAGCATCACCACGAAAAGCACAAAACAATCGAGTATCAGCAAAAACCTCCAAGTCTGGAAAAAGGGAAACCTCGCAATGCAAACAAGAAAAAATGTCAAAAAAAAACGATTCAAAAGAGAACAAATCAGCATCCATACGATGGCTGTGCCAGACAATTCTGCCACCAAATCAGCGCTGCTACACACACCTTCGCTCTCAATCAATTTTTCCCAAATCATATTCTTCCGACATGCGAACACGGTTTGACTACGCAAGTTCTGACCATGCACACTACCGTGTTCACCCGAATACAACGCACATCATTACCGCTATACCGAAAATGAAAGCCATTCCAAATACAGCTATAATGACCTGACGTTCTATACTGGTGAAGACTAGTGTCCTGCGAGAGACAGAAATCCCACACATTCCAAAGACGAAGACAAGCGACCAATGGTGCCTCTCGCTCCATCACTCGCCACAAACAAATATTAAAACGGTGCATTTTCCCGCGTGGTAAGGGAAGATTCATTTTCATTTTGCACATTTGGCGATTGGTGGAACGAGACCCGTAATGAAGTCTGTCCCAAAACGGAAAAGCTTGGGTACCTGTACAAAAACACTCGACCCCTATTCGAAAACTTCCATCTGATCTCCAAAACCCAATCTTAGGTTAGCGATTAAATACAGGACAGAGTAGAAAATCGAGAGGGAGGGAAACCACTGAAAGCCGCGCGTCGTTGACAAGTGTACAGCGGTGTTCAGGAGTTGGTGCACCGTTAAAGATAAAGAGGGAAGGATAATTTAGGGTTTGCAAGCAGGGCAGCCGCTACTAGGAGGGAAACCACCACGAAATTACCCCCAAAATGTTTTAAGCATTTGCACTAGTAGCGGCTGCCCTGTTTGCAAACCCTAAGTTATCCTTCCCTCTTCATCTTTAACGGTGCACCAACTCCTCTGAACACCGCTGTACACTTGTCAACGATGCGCGGCTTTCAAACTTCCTGCTCTTCAAATGAACACCCAACAATACCGGATCGGATTGGTGCCATTTTCCCACCTCCCTCCGACAAAACCCGATTCGAAATCCTGATGAATTCATCCTTCCCACCCAGTCTCCCGTTCTATGGTAAAAACAAAAAAATACCGCACTATAAAACCTTAACTGGTGACATCGCCACCGACTTCGCTGGGCAGGGGTATATCAGTCTAAGGATGGAAAAAAATAATCTCCCTCCACAGCATGCGATCCGAACGGATAATCGACTCCAAGAAGACAAGAAACCCCAAAGAGCTCCCAGTTATACTTCAGCAAGCGTCACGAGTTTCAGTGATCGCATAGATTTGCTCAGTTTTGAATTACTACAGTCGTGGCACACATACCCGCCCTAACAAGATATGGGCTGTCGTAATGGCAAGGCTGGCAACGTTCCTGCCCAACTGCGAAATGAATGAGCTAGACCTAAAACCGGCGTAATTCCCATTCACTACCTCCTTCGCCCGAATACAACGTACGATCACTACCTTCTTCGCCCGAATACAACGTACGATCTTTATAGCTGTATTTGTAGTGTCTTTCACTCCAAACACAGCTATGAAGATGGCACGTCATATTCAGTGAAGCAAGGTAGCCGCAGTTAGCATTCATCGTCCCGTTCGAGTAGAGGATCTATTCTCACCTCTAATAAGACAGGGAACTAGACGGCATATCCATTCATTCGGATGTCTGAAACATTCCGTACTTAGTCCTAAAACGGAGCCACATACAGTTTTCCTCGCAATTTGTTTGGGTCTCTTGAACCGGAGCCGGGTACAGTTTTCTTCGACACTAAATTTTGGGTCTCTTCCACAGCTTACTAGGGGATTCAAATAATATGAACCTCTCCCCGTTCAATTTCGAGACCAACTCCAATTGAACCGCATGCTTAATATATAATGTCATAAATCTGGGATCGACACGTACCTTAGCTTCCTCGTGCGAGATGCGGTGGCAAACGAATCGTCCCTTAACGTCGTACAGCAAACGGTAGTTCTCGTCGACCTTCGGGATCGTCACGACATCTGCGTACACAGAAATCAGGATCACACGTGAGTTCAATAAGGCGAGCAAATTAGGTTTTTCCCTTTTGCACCGAAAACAACGCGAAACCATCACGACCGATAGAAATTAATGGTGCACAAAGTAAGAAACACGTCAAAATGACCAGTGTGAACAACTTATACGAAGGACCTCGCTGTACCACATCTGACAGACGCTCATGGAGACGACGCACACAAACCCTAGACAATCCAATTGACAGAAACAACAACACAGCGACAGTTGCAGCAGCCGGGCCTTGAGGCTGACACGACAAGGCCCCCCATGAGCGCCATGGCCCCGTTATTCGCGTCCCATCCCTCCCACGAGCATAGCCCCGTTTATTCGTTTCCCCTTCACGACAAAACCCCTTCACTGTCATGTAAAGCACGTGACACCCACAACTACGGCGAAGGGATGGACAGGAGAATGAAAGTTGAGGCGAATACAAAAAAAAATGTTGATTCGATTAATTGATTCAACGACGATTCTCTTAACACCGTTGATCGAGAGAGTAACAGATTGATATTGTCTACACCCCACCGATGCCGCTGAGGACTAATTACGACGATACAATCAATTGATTCATAAATTTATCATATGCCTGGACTGTTCAAGTGATTGATCGCTTGATAGGCCAGTCGATCGACAACTTATGGAATTCACTTAACTCAGAAAACCTTTTCGGCTTTTTCACCCTCTTCCGTCAACTAAGGACAACCCCTTTCATTCCCACAACCCAAGACTTACCTTCTCTACCCAGCAAACTCATCGGGCGAGGCAGTCCATGACTGCACGTCGCCAGCCACAGCTTGATGCCTTTCGCCAATTTAACGTATGTACGCTATCTCTCACTTCTATACCACAGATATCACTCTACAAGATGTTACTGCATACGAACGGCTCACTGTTCACTTACACGTGATTGCCCGCACAAAACCACCCCTTTCGGATGCATATACTCACCGTCTTCCACCGAGAAATAAGCACCCTTATTGAGTGAGACAGTACAGGACCAGAAGTTCTAAGTTATCGAGGAAATAAGCACCCTTATTGAGTGAGACAGTATAGGACCAGAAGTTCTAATAAGGTACGCCATCAACATCCCAAAAGTCACATATGACGCCGGGAGCTGATTCCATTTCTACTGCTGCAAAACCCAAGCGATCGGTCAGCTAATTTCATAAAACTCACCCATGAAGCCAGCTGGGTAGCATTTATCCGTGCGGACCTTGCCATCAACCGCCACGTGTCGGTTCATGAGAATAGCAGTGACCTCACGCCCCGTTAGCGCGTACTTCAACCTGTTCCTCAACATGATGATCAAGGGGAGGCATTCCCTCTCCTTGTGCGGGCCGGGGGACGGCTTGGCGGCCTGTCAAACAGACACCATACAGGAAATACATACTAGAATCAGCCATATGCACAACCAATCCTCGCGATATATGATCAATCAAATATACGACATCAAACAGAAGACTGTCACATCCAATGGGCAATAACCGAGATGGCGACATCCGGGGTGGAGTGACGCGAATCGCAGAATGTGGCTTGCTTGACTGCCTAACTGTCTGAGAGTCCTTCCTTCGCCTCCAGGTCTGGCTTGCTTGACTGCCTAACTGTCTGAGAGTCCTTTCTTCGCCTCCAGGAGCTGTGCAAATTAGGGAACCTTGCAGAGGAGAGACTCCCTATATGAAGGCGTGAAAACAGCGACTCCGGCTAAAATAATCCCCACCTACACGTCCATTTTTGGTCCATCTCTCAGTCGGCAAGAAGAGAGAGCAAGTCCACCCGCCGACAGCAGCATAACCGAGCCGACGGCTCCAATTTTGGCACTTTTTCTTCACCAAGAAGACCAATTCCACACGCTGACATGATCATCCACGAGCGGGATGACTTCGTTTTCAGCAGCTCTTCTTCACGAACGAAAAGACCGCAAACCCTCCCGCCAACGAACATCGAAATTTCCTTCCTCTGGGAATTGCACTGACTGGATCTCTGCTCCATGCCGTAATCTTTACTGGAATTACGGTCACGCGCCTTGCACGTGTATAGCGGCAGCAGCCACCGCGGTCAGACTATATTCAGTCGAGATGCCGCTGATAAGCATCAGCGTTGTGTACCTCACCCACGCGTGCGCTGATTAGGGTAAGAGGGTGAACCACTCACACATTCACTTGCTAGGGATCAAAATTTTCAACACACAGACCGCCGATCAGGGTAAGAATGTCAAAACAAAACGCCATTCCCGCCGATTAGGGCAACCACTCCCAAAGCTGAAAAGGAGCACCATCCAGAGAGCGCAATAAGTGCACACCACACGGCACGCGCAGCAAGCCAGCCATATCTCTCGACGAAATACTTACAAAGACGCCACCAAGCTTGTCAAGCATCCAATGCTTCGGGGCATTGAGCCTCTTCAAATGCTTCTTGATACCACGCGCCTGCAAAACAAACAAGCACCTTTCGTCAGTTAATACAAGTGACCTTGTGGTTGTCAAAACAACCAACCTCTTATCCATATAGCCACCAAACCGGAGCAGCAATCATGAAAACTTCCACTTGGCTCTCGAGGTGGGCAACCTGCAGCGGGGTAGAAAGAATGATTCTCCATTCGTCACATGTCGTCGGTATGATTCTCCATTCGTCACATGCCCTCCGTCACTCAGGTGACCGACGACATCTCAGACGTCGAATCCGATGAAGTATCGCAACGGGAGAAAGACACCTGAATAGGGGAGGGCAGGAGAGCACCATGGCCGCCATCACATCAGCCACGGAAGAAAAACAAGAACGACAAGAGGGGGAACCGACGCCGTAAGCACGTCGACGGATCATCCTGCGGATAGTAAGGAAACGAAGGCATAGACAGTATGTGCAAGGCTTGCATTCTCGTGTACAGTGCACGTGACGTATCCGTACCATTTTGCCGGATCTGCCGAGACGTGGCGATGGCGTCCAAACTCACTTCCGCGTGCAAGATACCACGGCTGAAGAGGGGAACCTGTCCGAACCTCGAGTAGTTTATGGAGTACACTCTCTCCCGGTTTCCGCCTACCAGCTGGGCGGGCAGCTGGGCGGGGCTGGATAGTAAATCACCACCTGCGAGAGCATCCGACGCCTACTGTTCGAGCCCCATAGGCCCAGACCCATCCAGCCGTCTACTACCTCTCGTTGGGGCCTGGCTAAGGCCCGAGCTCTCCCGCCGGCCCCAGTCAGTCACAGAGGTAGGGTGCACTATGTTCCCAACCCCACCACATGGCACACGGTATCGACTGCGAGGACCAACCGGCAATCGGGAAGGCCTGTCATTTCTTTTCGGATGACTTAGGCTAAAGCTTTGCCCCCTACATGGGGTCTCCACGTCCAGTCCGGGTTGGCTGAATTGCATGGTGGAGCTGTGCCATTCAGGTTCAAAATCTGGCCATAGCCTGCCACAAAGGTTCGTAGGCGCAATGTCAAAGGGTAACCATCTCCCCCTCCAAAGACAGTCTGAAATTGAATCATGTTTACCACTTTGTCAATGCAACCTTTTCTGAACAGGTTGATTTGTGTCTGCATGAGACTTGCACTGGTCACCACTAACGATGAGCCTCGCTCCACGACTATCGAAATGTGCAAAACGAGAGTGGATCGTACACTAAAACATGGGAAGATACACCCTCATGATTTTTGTCTTTTTTATATGTCGAGAGGAGTGGAGCAACCCCCGATACCTGGTATATAGTGTGATAACGACCACAATTTTCCAGCCAGAGTTGCGCAGCATCTCCTTAGGCATACGAACTTTAGTCATCCTCCTGTTCAAATAACGGTATTGGTTGTCAATATTCATATAATTAGTTGGGGTCTTACCTCAACTTAGTTGGATAGAGCTCTTGCTTAGTAAAGAAGAGGTTGTGGGTTAAATTTTCATACTCTATTGCACACACCCAACTGGTGTTAGTATGGCACCCCGCATACTTGGCCCCAGCCAGGCGTGGTATACATGGACAACTATCATACTACGCATGACTACTACCTTCTTAACATGAAAAAAACGTATGTACGTTCTATTTGAATTACCTCTAGAAATCGGGTTTTCATAAATCGCTTGTTTTTCCCCGCATAGAACGTACGTTCGGATATAACGTACATACGATGCATTTGAATACAACTTACGACGTACGTATGTTGTATTCAAATATTTAAAACTTTGATTTTTCAAAAATAATCCAAAAAATCCAAAAACAATAAAATGTTATACAATAATGCAATACAAACAACGTTTGCTTGAGGGTATATCAAAATTCATGAGAAAATTCGAGAAAAAAAATAAAAACGAGGATGAAAATATTTTTTACAGTTTTTTTCAGAATTTTGATTAAAAACAAACTTCAGTAAAAAATAAAAATAAAAACAGTATGTTGTACAACATTGCAATGCAAACAACTTTTGCCGGAGGGTCTTGGCGGAATTCTCAAGCAAATTTGAGATAAAAATAAAAACAATGGCGGTACTACAGACTTCTGAAAAGTTGTACCCTAAAACTCGTTCTATAACGTACGTACGTTGTATTCGTATACAAGGTACATACATTTTTTTCGGGTTAAGAAGGTAGCCCTCCCGCGTGACGCACCTCTAGAGGTAGTAATCTTGAGGGGTAGTGCATGGGAATGGAGTATCGCTTTATCAAGGCATCATCATGGAGAATGGTGAGTCTCTTTGTTAGGAGCGAGCGCAGATTAGGGCTACGTTTTACCATGACGCGCTCGAGATAGGGAAAACAATACCTTGGTCGGTGGCATGGCATGTAAAGTGGATAGCAAGGTAGTATTTTTAACCTAAAAAATGGTTTAGACAAAGAAACTCGTGGATTTTAACATACGGAATCGATTGATGACATACACTCTTATATACGATTGGGGTCATAATTTTGTACATATGGATAATACACAAATTTTGGGTGGTTGCTCTGACACAAGGTACATCCTTCATACACATGGGACAAGAAACTCATACACATCTATTAAATAATTTTAGTCTCTTGTAAAGTGAATGAAAAATTGAAATGTAAATAATTTTTTTTTTATTATCATATGAGACGTTTCAGCTATTATTGTTATAGTAGTTATTTATATACTTAGATTGAATGTTATATCAAATACATTTATCTCGTATTATTTCAAATATTAGTTCTTATTAGCCCACGTTTACAAAGCAACCTTATAAACTTCAAACCATGAACTCCAAATTTTTATATTCGTCTTTCTTGCTCATTACCGATCCTTACCCAAATTGAAAAACTTTTTACGCATTTACCAATAAGAGTTCAACTTGGACTCTATTGAACTATTAATTTAGAGAAAACTATGGCGCATTCAGGGTTACAGTTTGTAATTGCATTTGAAACTACGTTTTAGCAGTTTAGTCAGGGCTCGAGTTTCAATTGCAGTTGAAACTGGTTTTAGCAGTTTGAAACTCGGGCTGACTTTTCCTAGGAGTTCAGTCAGGCACATGGCTGTTTGTTTGTTTTTTCCTTCGGTCGTGTGTCGCGCCGCGACCCGTTTCTTTCTTTCTTCAGTTTTTTTGTTTTTTTTTTTGTCCTTTCGACTGTTGCGCCGATCCGTTCTGCTGTAAAAAAAATAAAAAAATAAAAAACAAATCGCCCCATGGTCGGGCCGCGGGCGAGATGTCTCGGCCACACCCCAGATTGGCCACGGCCGAGATGTCTCGGCCACACCCCAGACTGGCCACGACCGAGATATCTCGGCCACACCCCAGATTGGGCACGGCCGAGATGTCTCGGCCACAGCCGAGATTGGCAGGCACTACACCTCATAAGCAAACGCGAAGTCTTAAGAGTAGACTACTCCGAAGAAGTGGGGGGCTCGGGGCAGGGATGGAGGCCAAAAAAAAAAAAAAGTAAAGAAACGAGGAACTTCGAATCCACCTACGTCAGGAAGGCCCTCAGGTCACCAGTGCTTTGAGGAATGTATCTGGCCAGGAAGTGAGGAACATGAAACAGGTAGTTTTCATTTTTTGTTTCTTGTTGTGAGGTCCCTGTAGCGCCCTGCCAGGCAGGAAGGGCGGATTCCACGCTTCATTGAGTTCCAGACAATTACTGTAGCATCCTGTATCGGACCACAATCACAACATAAGGGATGTTTTTTCTTTTTTTCTATTTATCTGTTGTTCGTGGATAGACGAGGGCCCTGACAGAACTGCATACGGCCGAGTTTCAACAGCAATTGAAACTTGGACCCTGACTAAACTGCAATTGAAACTCGGACCCTGACTAAACTGCTAAAACGCAGTTTCGAATGCAATTACAAATTGTTTTCGTGACTGCATCGAAGTTACCCCATTACAAACTACAATTTAATATATGTTCAGCGTTGTAAAGGACTTCGAACGGAAAGCCACCAGATCATACCTACGTCGAACTATCTCGCGTGTGGTCCGTGAGCGATTTGGTTTTAATTTTTCCGCTGCTCCAATCTTTCGTTTACTGTATGATGATCGGGTGAGACTGAAGGAAGTACGGATAATCGTGAATGATAAGTTGGGGAAATTAACACTTCCACGTTGTTTGATACGCAGAGCACGAGCGAAGGTCCGGATCGTGTGGACTAAGAATCCAAGCGTTGTGGACTTGTTACACAATCAACGCAAATTTGCACGCAACCTGTGCGTGTACATGTTTTCCTTACCCCCCGGTAAGAGGTCACGTGCGATGCCAGTTACACGAAGTTGAAGGTGTTCCGGAGCTGATGTGGAACGCGGGGAACATCCCGAAGGCGCACCGATCCGATCTGTTGGCCATGCTCCGTGATGAGATTCGTAAAGGGTTTCAGTCATGGATAAATATTAAAAACCAGGGAGTGGAGTGTGACGAAGCGGAAATTGAGGGGTGCATGCAGAAGACTGCAGATAGCGAGGCAAGGTACCTCGAGAAGGACAGAGTGTTGGAGACCAGGCAACGATTCAGGGGTCTGGTGCTTACTCCCTTGGACCGCAATCCAGGTGAGACGCTAATAATTTGTCCCGTATTGTACTATGAGGGGATGCGAGATCTGTTTCTCCGCAATGAAGGGTATGTGCCATGTGAGAAGGATGAAGCCGATGTTCTGAAGAAAATGAAGACATAGATTCAGAAGCGCGGGTTGAAGACGTTTTCCATAAGAGAAGTATTGGCTATGCCTACGCTATGCCAAAACACAAAGACCTGGAGCGCTATCGACCATATGCCCGACATACTCTGAACCTACCGTGAGGAGTTGTCGGGCAGCAGCAAAGGCATTGAACCACTTATTATACACTCTCCCGCACGACTGGCACTTTAACCTGAAGGACGTGACACTTATGACAGACCGACTGGAGAGGATCAACGTGAAGGCAGCAAAGATGAGGAAACAACCGGTGATATTGGCTAGATCGTATGATATCAAGGATATGTTTAGGCGGCTACCACATGGTGACATTATCCTTGCGGTTGAATGGCTGATTGAGTTTCATAAGAGTAAGGGTAGAGAGTTTGTGCGTGTGAATACGAGGGGAAGAGGAGCAACCTTTGGCCTGACGACTGACTTTAACCACTGGAGAATGATCCGTTTTAAAAAACTGTTGGAATTTGTGCGTTTTGATGCGTCATGTGTGCACATGCGGAGTTTAATTTTCTAAAAAAATTGGGCCACCTGCAAGGATTTGTAGCAGGGATTCGGTTGATTGATGACGTGCGTTTGTTCGTCTTGGACCCAGGGCTTGACAGGAGGACTGCGCAGGAAATCTGGCATCGCCTTGAAAATTGCTACCCTGATAATCTCTCGCTGAAGCGTACTGACTCCGACCAAGGAAAGTGGGATTTCCTAGGATGTGAGTTGCGGATTGATGATAGAATGTCGACTGTGTCTAGCGTTCAAATGATAAAAAATGAGAAGAGGATCTGGGAGGATGAGGTGCTTGAGTTAAAAAACGGACAATCCTTCCGATCTTGGGGAAGTAAGGTGCAAAAAAACGTCGTTATTACAAGTCCGTTACATAGGATTGAATGGAACACTTCGGCAAGGAAAGAAATCCCACGCCGAGTGATCACGCTGGCACGGGAACTAAGGATTATGGATTTCCCTGAGGATTTC